CTTTTAACAAGCAAAATGAGAAATAGTGATTGACTGTTTTAAAAAATTATAATAATAATAATTATTGGGAAATGCATGGAAAAGACTTTGAATGATAAAGCGGGGAGATCGATGCCTCTGTATTGACTGACATGCATGGCATTCCCTTTTGAAAAAGCAATGGAAGTCAATGTAAAGTTATATGTAATCCAATGTAATATAAAGAAGATTATGATAATAATAATAAAAAAAAACAAAACAACACACACACAAAAAAAACAAATACTCTTAATAATCCCTCCCTGCAAGAAGGAAAGAGAAAGAGAAGAGAGAGAAATTCATTGCAAACGTTTACAAGCCACTAGGGTAGTTTCCTGAGAAAACCTCTGGGCGTCGCTGTAGGTCAAAAGAAGGGCGAGAAGATACCGGAGACGCCTTTGGGAACCTCTAGGAGAGTAACTTCCTGCTCAAACCAACCACACAGAGGAGGCCAATACAGAATCGGATACAGAAAATATCAATAAAAGCAGGAAAGGTGGCTCTGCCCCGGATTCTGCCACCCACGGAGGGCTCGTTCCTCTGACCCGCAGAGCAGCAGAGCAGCGGCGGGAGACCAGGATGAGGCAGAGCGCAGGGAGGAGCAGCTCAGCGCGGTGCCTGCAGGTACTGTGGCCCTTCCTGCTGTCTTTGTTCCGGGTGGCTCTCCCAGACCAGATCCGCTATTCAATTCCTGAGGAGCTAACCAAGAACTCTGTGGTAGCAAACCTCGCCAAGGACCTGGGGCTCAGTTTCCGGGACTTGCCGGCCCGGAAGCTGCGGATTAGCGCGGAGAAGGACTACTTCATTATAAACCCAGAGAGCGGAGATTTACTTGTGAGTGACAGAATAGACAGAGAGCGGATTTGCGGGAAGCAGCCTCTGTGTGTTCTGGATTTTGATATTGTCGCTGAAAACCCACTGAGTATTTTCCCTGTAGCAGTGACTGTGCAAGATATCAATGACAACATTCCACAATTCAAACAGAGTAAGGTGGATTTAAAAATTGGAGAATCCACTAAGCCAGGTAAAACTTTTCCACTAGACCCGGCTGTAGATGCAGATGCTGGTCCGAATTCATTGCAAAGATACCTACTTAATGACAACGAGTACTTTGATCTCACAGAGAACGAGACTCCAGATGGAGATAAATATCCTGAGTTGATTCTGAAAGATTCTTTGGACAGAGAAGAGCATAATTTCCATCAACTGGTCCTCACAGCTGTGGATGGCGGAAGCCCGCCTCAAAGTGGCACTACCCAGATCCATATCCAAGTCACTGATGCCAACGATAACCCTCCGGTGTTCAGCCAGGATGTGTTCAGGGTCACCCTGCGTGAGGACGTGCCCCCAGGTTTCTCAGTGTTTCGAGTGACGGCCACTGACCAGGATGAGGGGGTCAATGCGGAAATCACCTATTCTTTTCATAATGTGGATGAACTAGTGGAACACTTTTTCAACTTAGATCAAAGAACAGGAGAAATCACCACGAAGGATGAGTTGGATTTCGAAACAGCAAACAGTTACACACTGAATATAGAAGCCAAAGATCCTGGAGATTTAGCTGCCCACTGCCGTGTCCAGGTGAAAATTCTTGATGAGAACGATTGTGCGCCTGAAGTGATTGTGACTTCAGTGTTTACTCCCCTGCCAGAGAACTCACCGCCAGGAACAGTGATCGCTTTGATAAAGACTAGAGACAGGGACTCCGGAGAAAATGGAGAAGTTTACTGCCACGTCTTGGGAAATGGAGAGTTTATATTGAAATCTTCCTCCAAGAACTATTACAAGCTAGTGACAGACAGAGCCCTGGACAGGGAGGAGATTCCTGAGTACAATGTCACCATCACAGCCACTGACAGGGGCAAGCCGCCCCTTTCCTCCAGGATAAGCATCACTCTGCGCGTCTCGGATGTTAATGATAACGTCCCAGTTTTCCAACAGGCCTCATACTTGGTTCACGTGCCGGAGAACAACCCCCCCGGCGCTTCCATTGCTCAAGTCAGCGCCTCCGATCCCGACTTGGGACCTAACGGCCACGTTTCCTATTCCATCGTAGCCAGCGACCTGGAGCCCCGGGCGCTGTCGTCCTACGTGTCCGTGAACCCGCAGAGCGGGGTGGTGTTCGCGCAGCGCGCCTTCGACCACGAGCAGCTTCGCGCCTTCGAGCTGACGCTGCAGGCTCGAGACCAGGGCTCGCCCGCGCTCAGCGCCAACGTGAGCCTGCGCGTGTTGGTGGGCGACCTCAACGACAACGCGCCGCGGGTGCTGTACCCCGCGCTGGGACCCGACGGCTCCGCGCTCTTCGACTTGGTGCCTCGGGCGGCGGAAACCGGCTACCCTGGCACCGGAGGGCGGCCACCCCTCTCCGCCACCGCCACGCTGCACCTGGTCTTCGCTGATAGCCTGCAAGAGGTACTGCCAGACCTGGGCGATAGTCCTGCGCCCTCTGACGCCCAGGCCGAGCTGCAGTTCTACCTGGTGGTGGCCCTGGCTCTGATCTCTGTGCTCTTCCTGCTCGCGGTGATTCTGGCGGTCGCCCTGCGCCTGCGGAGCTCCTCCAGCCCCGCGTCCTGGGGCTGCTTTCGGCCTGGCCTCATCTCTAAGTCTGGACCTGGAGTTGTCCCCACGTACAGTGAGGGAACATTGCCTTATTCCTACAATCTGTGTGTTGCGTCACAATCAGCTAAGACGGAGTTTAATTTTCTCAACGTGACCCCGGGAGTGGCTCCGGCTCAGGATCTCCTTTGTGATGATGCCTCTTGGGTACCCCATACAAATCACGGAGACACTGGGGCCCCATCAGCCTCAGATACTATTTTAAAGGTAGGCTTTCCTTTAATCCGTTTATTTTCATTTTGAGTTTCAATGTTTTCTAAGAAATTACCTGAGTTCAGAACTTCTTTGCATATTTTGTTGTCTCATGTGTGAAATTTTGACAGTGTTATGTCTTTTTTAAAAAAAAGAATTATTTATTTATTTATTTATTTAAATTTGTCCAGAGAGGGGGCAGGGGAAGTGAGAAAGTAAGCCACCAGGTTCAGGACTCAAACCGCCTTCAGCCATGTAGGAGACCAGCACCTTTGACCACCATGCCACCTGCTAGTCTCAGCAGTGTTATGTCTTAATTATATTAATTTTATCTAACCAAATCTTTTTAAAAGTAATTATTTTACTTAACTATTTATTGACTTATTTATTTTTAATTTGATCAGAGAGGGACAGAATGAGAGAGTGTGAAAGCAAGCTGCCAGATCTGGGACATCAAACAACCAGCCATCGGCCACATGTTCAGCACCCTTAACCACCATGCCACCTGCCAGCCCCTAACCAAATCTTAAGTATGGGGTTTCTATCTGACATATAAGATTTATTTGTCAGTAATTACAGGCTTTATCACATGAGATATTCCTTCTCTCATCTTTCCATTCCTTTCCTCTTAAGGTTTATTAAGAACCTTAAGCATTTCCTTTCACCTTTAAGGTCTTTATTATGCAAATTTTAATTTTACTTCCACTTAGAATTATCGTACTTTATAGTCCTCATTGCACTAGTTTGTGAAAACTGAGCCAAAGGGGGAGTCTTACTCAATGTCATGGCTTGTTAACAGAGCACGGATAGGACTTTCGCACTGACTTGAAGACCAGCACTCTAAGTGTCCACAAGCTAAGTGTCTTGGGATCCAGATCTATTTTAAAAGGATGAGTAATGGTTGTGCTCTGTGATATCTGCTGTGAAGAGTGAATTTAACAGGGAACCAGCAGTTAGCGTAATGGCTATGTCGCTGGATTCCCACGTAGTCAACCGAGGTTCGCGTCCTGGACCCGGTGGCTTAAAACTCATGCCATGTGCGTGCGTGCCCAAGATCCCGAGAGGAGAATGGAGGAGAAGGGATTGCGGTGTGGCCATCCCACCTGGGGGATGATTTCTCGCTTTCTGTTTCTCTGTCTCTCTCTGTCTGTCTGGTGAGTGCACGCGCCCTGTAGTGAAAACCTCTCCAAAAAAAAAGAGTGAATTTAATAAATGTGAGAGATATGGGGCCAGAAGGTGGTTGGGATGCTGGACTCCCACGTGGCTGACTGCGGTCTGAGTCCTGGACCTGGCGGTTTTCTCTCTCTTTCTGTCTCTCTCCGGCCAAATTGAAGAATGATGGTAAATAAAATCATATGAATAATTCTTTTAAAATAAATAAATAAATGTCAGAAATAATTCTCTCTTATCCATGTTAAGACATTGCTCTTTAGAAAAGTTGTGGATTGAGAGAAATTTTGCAGCTATACCCTCATCATTTCTTACCAAATATTACTCACAACTATATGTCTTGAATTGTATAATTATAGATATGGAATGTTTTCACTTTCTTTATTTTCCTATGAAGGTGTCATTAAATTAAATTGTTTCTTTCATTTAATGGACTCTTGGAAATGTTGGTTATTTTTCAGTAATGAGGTTTTTCTTTCTTTTGAAAAATTTTTTCCAGAGAGTATGTGTGCTCACCAGAGAGAGAGGGGGGGAAGTAAGAAAGCACCCCCAATGGGGCATAGTCACACACAATCTCTCTTCCTTTTCTCTCTCCTTTTGGGATTTTGGGCACATGCTCCTCTGTTTTTTTCCAAGCCACTGGGTTAAGGATTCAAACTGTACTGTCAGCCATAAGGGATCCAGCCACCTTAACCATCAGGTCATGGGGCTGGTGCCAACGTTTTTCTTTTTCTGTTACTATATACGATTTTTTAAACATTTATCCATTCTGTGAGTCAGTTAGAAAGACAGATATATAGCACCTCTGACAGTATTTGGACACTTCAATTTACCCCCAACCTCGGCTACCCCAGGTTTAGCCAGTCAGGAGCACAGGTACAGGTGTACCTGGGTGTACTCAGGGAGGTACACATTTTTTCCTGCTGTTCCACCATCTGGCCTCTCTGTCACCATACAAAGATACTAATGTTAAATATCCATCTTAACATAGGAAGGCCAGTATTAGCTGCTGCTTGTTAATACTTATCAGGCATTCTTTTTTGCATGGATGATGAACCAAAACCCTATCCTTCACTGCCCAACAAGAATATGTCATTGTAAAATATCTAACTGCAATATTTGAACATGGTAATAAAAAAATATAAATAATGCATAGCTGGGCCAGATCCATGACCTGTTAAAGGAGCTGAATTTCACATGACCCGCTACAATGTTACTCCTGGCCCTGACAGCTTGAAAAACACACTGGACATGTGTGCATGTATGCCCAAATCCCAGCAGGGTGAAGAAATGGAGGAGAAGGGATTGTGGTATGACCCTACCCCATTGTGGGGGTGCTTTCTCCCTCTTTCTTTCTCTGTCACTACACCTCTTTTTGGTGTGCACAAGTGCCCTCTGGCAATTAAAAAAAAAACAATAATAATACATAGGTAACCCACCTTAAAGCTCAGTTTGAGATTGTGCAGCTGCCACAGTTGAAAGTCTGGGAGCCAGCAGGTGGCATGGTAGTTAAGTCACTGGGTTTTCACATGGGCAACTGCAATTCAAGTCTTAGACATGGCATCTTGCTTTCTCACTTTCCTTCCCTTTCTTTCTCTTTCTGATGAGTGCATGTAGCTCATAGCAAATTTTAAAATAATAATTAATTATTTTTCATTTCATTTTATTTATTGTCATTATTTTATTTTATTGAAGTTGACTAGAGAGAAGAAGAGAGAAGGAAAGTGAAAAAAAACAAACTGCCAGGTCTGGGACTTGAACCACAGTGAGTCATTTGGAAGTCCAGTCACCTTAACTAACGTGTCATCTGCCAGCCTCAGTAAGTAATACTTCAAAAAACAAAAAGAAAATCTGGGGCTGGCAGGTGGCATGGTGGTTAAGACTCTGAACTCCCACTGGGCAGATGATGGTTCGAGTCCCAGACCTGGTGGCTTGCTCTCTCTCTCTCTCTCTCTCTCTGTGTGTGTGTGTATGTGTGTGTGTGTGTGTCTTTGGTCATATTGAATAATAATAATAAATTAAATTAATAATTATTTAGAAAAAAAGAAAATCTGAAAACTTTCTTAAAGACCTCAAAAGTAGCAAAGAACTTCATCCTTTTGCGTATGACAATGAAAATAATTTGCATAAATTGGTAGGCCTTTTTTGCAAAGGTGCATTGAAAGCTGGGTTTTTGTGTATAAATGGGCACACTTTCGTAAATGCATCCTAACAAAAAGATGAAATCTAAAAGCTTACAATCCTATGAACTTCAATGTCCTAATTTAGCAGATTCAATATAGTAAGAGAAAATAAAGGAACGGGTTCTGTGGTACATCAAACGTAACTATCTAAAGGAAATAAAGACTGATAATTATATGGATCTCAGGGGTTTGTGGAAGTCTTTTGCTATTTCAGAATTAAAGCTTAGCTGGAATCATAAACACTGTTATCCAGTAATTCATAAAGAATACATGATTATTAGAAATAAAAATGTAATTAAACGTAAAGGAAATAAAAATAGAATTGGTGTAGTAACTGGTTAGGACTCTGAGCGTCGCTGTTCACCAAAGCTGGAATGAAGCTGCCGCAGCGACTCGACTGCTCCTTCCATACTAAGCATTCACACACAATCCAGACAAGTTCCTGGGAAAAGCCGCCTGTCCGCACCTTGATTTCATTTCTCATTGGGAATATGGCCCCCTGAAATTTAAAGAAATAAAGAACCAGAAGGCTCAACTACGACTAAAAGAAAATTGGGCGGAAAGAAGGCAATGGAGGACCCACTGAGGCGCTGGAGCTGCAGAGAGCTGCTTTTGCTCTTCGCGCTGCTGGGGACACTGTGTGAGCCAGGATCCGGGCAGATCCACTACTCGGTGCGGGAGGAAACAGACAAGGGCTCCTTCGTGGGCAACATCGCCCAGGACCTGGGGCTGGAGCCCCCGGAGCTGGCGGAGCGCGGAGTCCGCATCGTCTCCCGAGGGAGGACGCAGCTTTCTCTGAACCCGCGAAGCGGCAGCTTGATCACCGCGGGCAGGATAGACCGGGAGGAGCTCTGCGCTCAGAGCGCGCGGTGTCTGGTGAGTTTTAACATCTTGGTTGAGAATAAAATGAAAATTTATGGAGTAGAGGTAGAAATAATCGATATTAATGACAACCCCCCGCGATTCCGGGATGAGGAATTAAAAGTAAAAGTTAATGAAAACGCGCCTGCGGGGACGCGGTTAATGCTTCCCTTTGCGCGGGACGCGGATGTGGGTGTGAACTCCCTCCAGACATACCAGCTCAGCTCCAACCTGCACTTCTCCCTGGACGTGAAAAGCGGAACTGATGGGCAAAAGTATCCGGAGCTGGTGTTGGAACGGCTCCTGGACCGCGAGAAAGAGGCGGTTCACGACCTGCTCCTCACCGCTTTAGATGGCGGAGACCCTGTACTCTCTGGCACCACGCGCATCCGCGTGATGGTCCTCGACGCAAATGACAACGCCCCCCAGTTCACGCGACCCGAGTACCGAGTAAATATTCCAGAGAACATACCTGTGGGCACTCGGCTTCTCACGGTAACTGCCACGGATCCCGACGAGGGCATGAACGGAAAATTGACCTATTCGTTTCGCAATGAAGAAGACAAAATTTCAGAGACTTTTCATCTTGATTCCAATCTGGGGGAAATCTCAACCAGGCAATCCCTGGATTATGAAGAGTCCAGATTCTACCTCATGGAAGTGGTGGCTCAGGATGGAGGCGCACTTCTTGCTAGTGCCAAGGTGCTGGTCACGGTGCAGGACGTGAATGACAATGCCCCGGAGCTGCTCCTCACCTCTCTCACCAGCACAGTCTCCGAAGACTGCCTTCCCGGAACCGTGATTGCCCTGTTCAGCGTCCATGATGGCGATTCTGGAGAGAACGGCGAGACTGAGTGTTCTATTTCTAGGAACTTGCCTTTTAAATTGGAAAAATCAGTTGATAATTACTATCACCTTTTAACAGCCATGGCCCTGGACAGAGAAGAAACTTCGGACTATAACATCACAGTAACTGTCATGGACCGTGGAACTCCGTCTCTGTCTACAGAAAACCATATTTCCCTGAAAGTAGCAGATGTCAATGACAACCCTCCTGCCTTCTCTCGCGCCTCTTACTCGACCTCCATCCCAGAAAACAACCCCAGGGGTGTTTCCATCTTTTCTGTGACCGCCAGCGACCCTGACAGTGGCAGCAACGCTCAGATCACTTACTCCCTGATGGAAGACGCATCTCAGGGAGTACCTCTGTCCTCCTATGTGTCCATTAACTCTGACACTGGTGTCCTGTACGCCCTGAGATCCTTTGATTATGAGCAGTTGAGAGACCTACAATTGTGGGTGACAGCCAGTGACAGTGGGACCCCTCCTCTCAGCAGCAACGTGTCACTGAGCCTGTTTGTGCTGGACCAGAATGACAACGTGCCTGAGATCCTGTACCCCACTCTTCCTATTGATGGTTCCACTGGTGTGGAACTGGCACCCCGCTCTGCAGAGCCTGGCTACCTGGTGACCAAGGTGGTGGCAGTGGACAAAGACTCTGGCCAGAACGCCTGGCTGTCCTACCGCCTGCTCAAGGCCAGCGAGCCCGGGCTGTTTATGGTGGGGCTGCACACGGGCGAGGTGCGCACAGCGCGGGCCCTGCTGGACAGAGACGCGCTCAAGCAGAGCCTCCTGCTGTCTGTCCAGGATCATGGTCAGCCCCCTCTCTCAGCCACCATCACTCTCACTGTGGCCATAGCTGACAGCATCCCTGATGTATTGACTGACCTGGGCAGACTCAAGCCTTCAGCTGACCAGGATGACTCAGGCCTCACGCTGTACCTGGTGGTGGCTGTGGCTGTGGTCTCCTGCGTCTTCCTGGCCTTTGTCATTGTGCTGCTGGCGCTCAGGCTGCGGCGCTGGCACTCATCACGCCTGCTCCAGGCTGCAGGTAGCCATTTGACTGGAGTGCCCACCTCCCACTTCATGGGCGTGGACGGGGTGCGGGCTTTCCTGCAGACCTATTCCCATGAGGTCTCCCTCACTGCGGACTCTCGGAACCTGATCTTCCCCCAGCCCAACTACGCGGACACGCTCATCAGCCAGGAGAGCTGCGAGAAAAGCGAGCCTCTTATGATATCTGATAAGATAAATTCAAATGAAGAACAGGGAAATGTTCAGGTTAGTTTTTTCTTTCAGTCAGGATGACTGGAGCATTTTATTCATTTATTTTCTCAATCATTTCTCTACCACATTCAAAATCAGTTCATTGTATAAATGGTGAATTATTATTTGCTTTTCCAGAAATTAGTTTGATTTATTTGGTAATTAATACTTTCTCTATTTGCTTTTGCATTATATTTTGGACTTGATTCTTTTTCAATATGTAGATGTTTTAGAGACTTCAGCCAATATTAGTAGACTTAAGTGAAACAAATACCTTAAAAGAAAGCAGTTAAACATGAACATTTTACCCCGAGATTTTGTTATATTGGAATTGCTATTCCCTTGATAGAAAAGTTATTTCATTATTTCAGGTTGTCAGACGTTTTGTTTCTTTTTTGCATATTTGCCTATACGCTATTAGTGAACATGTTTTGGAAAGGCTATTGTGCAAGATTGATGTATTAGCACACCTGAAGTTTGTATAAGAAAATAATTTATAATATTTGCATGAATCATAGTAGGACAGAAAAGTCCTACATTATCAATATCAAAAGAGTAAATTAAAGAGCATGGTGGCACAAACCTGTAATTCTGGCAAATTAAAAAAAAAAAATCCTTAGGACCAGCAGACAGTATCATGGTTGCATTGCTGGACTCTCACATAGTTGACCATGGCTTGAGTCCCAGACCGGACACCTTGAAATCATGCTGGGTGTGTGTATGTGCATGCCCAAAGTCCCAAGAGGAGAATGGAGTAGAAGCAGCACGGCCATCCCCCAGGGGGGTGATTTCTCACTTTCTGTCTCTGGTGACTGCACACGCCCTCTACAAAAATCTCTCTCTCTAAACAAAAAGTGTTTTATTCAGTATCGTAGTTTAAACTCTCTAAAGAATTAGATACTGCTATATTCCGTAAATATAAACGTGCCATATACATCTGGTTATTGGTAGCCCCTTCACTTATCACAATCAATATCTATTGGAGGACCAGTCTTAGCCTAGTGGTTAAGGGAACCAGATTCTGTATGGTCTACCATAGTTCAAATCCTGGCCCCTGTAGCTTGAAATAAACTAGGGTGCATGTGTGTATATGTGTGTGTGTGCACATGCACGTGTGTGCACACTCAGAAGAGAAATGGAGGAGAAAGGATTGTGGTATGTATGGCCACACCCCATTTGGGGATGATTTCTTCCCCTCTCTCTCTGTCTCGTTCTCTCTATCTCTTCTTTTTCTTGTGAGCACATGTACTCTCTGGCAATTAAAAAACATCTACTCGGGACCAGCAGGTGGTGTGGTGGTTAAGACGCTGGGCACTCCCACGTGGCTGACCACGGTTTGAGTGCTGGACTTGGTGGCTTGCTTTCTCACTTTCCTACTCTCTGTCTCTGTCTCTGTTTCTCTCTCTGGTCAAATTTAAATAAATAAATGAATAAATAAATTTTAAAAAACATCTACTGGAATGCTTGAATTTCTGAAAGTATTGGTACAATTCTGCTTTGTTGCAAGAGACTAAGATATATAGTTGTAAAAGATTAAGGTTTGTATGTGAAAAATCGATTCAACTTCAGAGTGATTTGAAATTTTAAAAGTCATTTTAGGGACCAGCAGTTAGCGTAATGGCTATGTCACTGGACTCCCACGTAGTTGACCGTGGTTCGAGTCCCAGACCCGGTGGCTTAAACTCACGCTGGGCACGTGTGCGTGCGTGCCCAAGATCCCGAGAGGAGAATGGAGGAGAAGGGATTGCGGCGTGACCATCCTCCCTGGGGGGTGATTTCCTGCTTTCTGTCTCTCTGTCTCTCTCTGTCTGTCTGGCGAGCGCACGCGCCCTATAGCAAAAACCTCTCAAAAAAAAAAAAAAGTCATTTTGAGGAATGTGCTTATCTTAAATTAATAGATTTTAAAAATGAAACACTGATCAATGAGTCTCAAACTCCAGGAGCATGTATTGTGTAGAACGATTTTATTCATTTTCTACATCTGATTTGCTGAAGGCATTTTCAGATGCATCTTATTCAAAGA